CCACAATTGATGATGGCAACCAGGTGCGTGAACCACAGTTGTTGGCAGCCAAGGATGTTAACCACAGTTAATGGCAGCCAAGGATGTTAACCACAGTTGATGGCATCCAAGGATGTTAACCACAGTTAATTGCAGTCAAGGATGTGAACCACAATTGATGGCAGCCAAGGATGTGAACCACAGTTGATAATGGCGGTCAGGTATGTGAACCACAGTTGATGGCAGCCAAGGATGTTAACCACTGTTGAAGGCAGCCAAGGATGTTGACCATGAATTGGTGGCAGTCAAGGATGTGAACCACAATTGATAATGGCAGCTAGGTAGGTGAATCACAGTTGATGGCAGCCAAGGATGTGAACCACAATTGATGGCAGCCAAGGATGTTGACCAGAATTGGTGGCAGTCAAGGATGTGAACCACAGTTAATTGCAGTCAAGGATGTGAACCACAATTGATAATGGCGGCCAGGTATGTGAACCACAGTTGATGGCAGCCAAGGATGTTAACCACTGTTGATGGCAGCCAAGGATGTTAACCACAGTTGACTGCAGCCAAGGATGTTAACCACAGTTGTAAATGGCAACCAGTGATGTGAACCACAGCTCTCGATGGCAACCAGGGATGTGAACCACAGTTTATGGCAGTCAAAGATGTTAACCACAGTTGATGGCTGCCAAGGATGTGAACCACAGTTGATGACAGCCAAGGATGTGAACCACAGTTGATGGTAGTGAGGGTGTGAACCACAATTGATAATGGCGGCCAGGTATGTGAACCACAGTTAATGGCAGTCAAGGATGTGAACTACAGTTTATGGCAGTCAAGGATGTGAACCACAGTTGATGACAGTCAAGGATGTGAACCACAGTTGATGGCAGCCAAGGATGTGAACCACAGTTAATTGCAGTTGAGGATGTGATCCACGGTTGATGGCAGTCAAGGATGTAAACCACAGTTGTTGTTGGCAACCAGGGATGTGAACCACAGTTGATGATGGCAACCAGCGATGTGAAGCACAGTTGATGGCTGCCAAGGATGTGAACCACAGTTGATGGCAGTCAAGGATGTGAACCAAAGTTGATGACAGTCTGTCAAGGATGTGAACCACAGTTGATGGCAGCCAAGGATGTGAACCACAGTTGATGGCAGCCAAGGATGTGAACCACAGTTGATGGCAGCCAAGGATGTGAACCACAGTTGATGGTAGTGAAGAGTGTGAACCACAATTGATAATGGCGGCCAGATATGTGAACCACAGTTAATGGCAGTCAAGGATGTGAACCACAGTTGATGGCAGTCAAGGATGTAAACCACAGTTGATGGCAGCCAAGGATGTGAACCACAGTTGATGGCAGCCAAGGATGTGAACCACAGTTGATGGCAGCCAAGGATGTGAACTACAGTTGATGGCAGCCAAGGATGTGAACTACAGTTGATGGCAGTTAAGGGTGTGAACCATAGTTGATGGCATCCATCATCATCATCTTATGGTGGTTTACAAACAAAATGTGTATCTGTCCCATTATAAGACTCGGTCGTGTCCATAAATATGAATGAGCGTCTCTTAAATTTTTGCAATGCCGTCTATAGGGTAATATAGGCGTACATGTCCATCCAGTGACGAGTAGCCTGTGATTGCAGTGGATAGGTCGCTATCCCCGTCGTTATCGTGACCTAAAACACAATCAAATATTCAACATCATTTGTGTACTTTGGGTTAATTTTAGTAACATGTCAAATATTAAAATGTCCGAATATCGAGTGCACACCTGTGATGACCCTGGGTGCGACTTGTGTCCATCACCTACGTCTGTCTGGTCGGCGTATAACTCAAGGGCCGGAATGAACTAAATCATTCCTAAACAAAACATACAATTAATGTGTCTCGTTTCCGGTGATCTGATATCGTGCTCCACTAGTACATTTTTAACGACGAGGCCGCTCATCGATGTCGGCAATTATTGGTGCGCTTTAATGTTTGAAAGGTTGTCGTATGCTAAATAGTTAATGTCATGGGAGTAAAAGCAAACGTGTTTCTATGAATAAGGCATATAACAGCGCACAAAGAGCTGATTTGATTAGAATGTTTGTAGAAGGAGAGGGAGTGGTTTAAAACGAACCACTTCACCTGGTCTGTTATAAGGGCTCCCCACACGTGAATGGTGTCATTTGTCCGTCCGCGGAAAACACTTTCCAGTCATTCCTTGTATGGTGCTAACTTCATTGATAACTCGTACCCTGGTTCACCTGGGATACACGCGGACCTCTGAGATATTGCCTGGTCCGACATTCAACAAATACAGGTGGTTTTGGATTCTATAGAAGTTACGGGTGAGTGATGTCTTCTTTTCATCATGGGGTGTGTTAGCGTAGATTGGCGTTGAATGCTAATCGGTCAGCAAAGCAGAACGTCTTAATTTGGTCTGAGATTTGCACAGAGCATGTCTTGTTTTCATACGTTGCGGTTGGTCTCCGGATGAGGTTAGTTAAACCTACAAGTAGGACACTTTGCTAATATCGCTCATACCTGATCTCATCAACCTGGCTATCTAAATTGACAATACAAATAGTATGTATATATTGCATTATGATAGCCATTCTGCTGACAAATACCATACTGGATTCTGTGAGTTGTTGTTTAACCTTTTGCCAGTTGTCTATGTCATTCGCTCCACACCATTGTGAAAGTTTACGTCGTATTTTTAAGGTGCTATGAAATTATATTGCATTCATTAAAATACTCATAACAATTTACTCAAGCCCGTCTGCGGAAAAGAGCAGCCTCCACCAAAATAGACACCAAGCACCGGAATATGTTTACCCTTATTGGTACATTAGTTTGTTATGTTTGTTTACTTTTTAAAAGGTTGTGTGTCAGTTTGAGGCGAAGAAGTCTTTATAAACATGTACCGTCTATTGTCACATATGGTAGAAATGTCGAAATGCAATTAAGGCAATTGTGAGCGTCTATGAGTGTACACTTGTGTTCTCTCCATGGGCATTGAGTTTTAGTGGTCTCGCATATTACGGTAATTCATGCACTTGTATAATATATAACCTACTGGTATGTTACGGTCCACACAGTCATAAAACACTGCAAGGTCGTCCTGAAATGCACGATTAACCATGCCTGCAAATAAACTAACCACCGTGTATAGAATGCTATGTAAATTCACTTTGCACTCTTTGTGTGTATGCCTATTACCTCAGCGGTCGGTAGTGAAGTATGCGTGTCATTAGCACTGCCATTAATACTGTACTATATCTCGCCTACCATCGACCCTGGTAGCGCTGTATTGGATGATAGCACAATATAGCGAACTTATACCGAGGCAGGATGACTATAATAGACTAAAGCATACTGCACCATGGTACCATGGAATCACAATCCAAGCTAACATAATTCGCTATAGAAAGATGTTTTCAAAAGTTCAAATGCAGTGTTGATAACAATGGAACGAACTAGTCTGTTGAGCATGCAATCACGGTTTTTTTAGTAACCGTGATGCAATTTTCCGTCTTCATTGTAAAGTTTTGGTTTTGGTCAGTGCCTGGAACTCTTTTTAGCTCTATGATCTTGACAAGGTGTTCAGTCTGGCGGGTGTTGGGTGGCCAGATTTACCATCATTGCATTTATTGTCCGATCCATTCACCCACAGCGAGCCAAGCCAGGTTGAAACCATTTAGAGTTGTTAGACATTTTGAAAATTAGTTAGAAGTTAAAACATTAATTCATCATGGGGGAAAATACTTTAATGAACTGATAACATCAAAATCGAACACAATGATGGTTTACACTAAAACGAAACAAGAGCGGTTCCCAATGCATGTACATGCAGCAAAAGCATGGCTTCATCTAGAATTCTCGTTCTAAAATCGCCTGAAAGGCCTCGAACCCTGCGACTTGTGTAAGGGTTTCTTGATACGAATGAGTAAAACGAATGTAATTGTTTTAAGTATTTGACAGTGTTTCAAAATAAAAGTGATAGTCTGTGTGATGGGTTTTAGTGAATATTTTACGACTGGTTACGAAGACTGTATGGCGAACTCGAGCAAATGTATATCGTGTGATTTTGCAGTCCACAAGTCGTATATTTCATATCACCGTTTCATATATTGGTTCCTGTGGCCAGAATTAACAATTTACCCACAAATGTACTATAACTGTTATTATTGTTCGTTGACGCATATATGGCGTAGTAATTCAAGTGTAGTTACCAGCTAGTTATGCTTGTGCAACTTGAATGATGTTCAAGGTATAAATATTCCAGCTCACTGTCTCCACATGACAAAAGGATATACGGATACGAGACCGTGCAGGGCATTTAAATTTTGACGGATCATTGTACTGTGGTCGAACATATATTGTATTCAGTACTTCAGGAAACGTCTGGTGGCGCTGTATCCACTAGGATTTTTTAAAAAAAGGAAACATTCAGTCGGAAATTTGAGATTCTATATGATTGTCCAAAAAATATTAAGACACACGAAGACGTAATAACACTGTACCGTGCATCCATGTATGTAATACATCTGATGCTGGATAATTTTGAACAATTGAGAAAAAATTACCACTCTGTTAAAGACATTCTGCAACTTGAATATTTTAGAGATTTGAAATCAAATGATAGTTTTTCCTATAAACTGAAACTCGTCGCATTCACGTGGAATTCCGCATAATAGAACGCATTAATTACAGCCACTTGATTACATGGAATTTTAGCCATAAAGTTTTCCCTCGGGTGATAAATTCTACCCAATTCTTCTTCCGACATTAACAGGGTCACTGACCAATTGTTTATTTTCGATTGTACATACTACAGCACTGTTTCCATGTACATATACGTAACGTGTGCGATATACTGTGGATTGCTTCTAGTATCTGGTTTCCCGTAAATAATCATGCCACCTGTTCTGAGTATTAAGCGCTATGTATGGACGAGAGAAAACCTCGAATCGTCCGTTCGAACCGTTGCACTTCGCAAAAAAAAAATAATTTGAATAACTGACTTGGTAAGGCGTAATCTGAATAAACTCGTAAAAATTGCATCTTGCGTGTCCTGGTCTCATGGTGGCGCTTTACATAAGCAACAAGCGATAATTTGCCGTTACGGAGTAAACATCTCGGTTGTCGGTGAACGTATTGCAGACTTTGTTGAATAAATTTAATACCACAATACTATAACAAAAAGTATAACAATCATAAGGCAGTGTTATTCCTTTTATTCACAGTCATTCTATAGATTAAGAAAACAACTACAATTATAGATGGTCTGCGGTTTATTGCCACGGAAACGGAGGTGATTTCTAAAGTTGATAGACAGGCGTAAGATGTAAGATACAACTGGCGTGTCATATTGCAGTCCAGAGCCCTATAAACCCCACCGCGTTCTCGTCACACGTCCGGGCTTTTATTCCCGACAAATCCTGACCCAGTCTATGAAATACTATAACGTCAACGAAACTAGCGACTTTTACATTTAATATCTGTCACTTGAGATACCGGGTCCTGTTGACATTCATCGTACGTCATCCGGGTCCCCCCCACTCCAATCACACTATAACAATGTCTAGTTTTATGGTTATAAATGTCGTTATTCTCACAAAAGCACACCTACTATTCCGTGCCATGTCCACGCTCTTACAGGAACCCAGAAATGGTGTTTACCGACTGTCTGATCTTCCCGGCCTTCCACGACATCAGGTGTGTCGCCTGTACCATTTACCGAAAGGGGTGTAAAGATCGCCACCAGAAATGTATTGTACTCTTCAAAGCTTGACGAGTATATACACATATTCAAAACATATCACAATCTCTGACGTAGTCGGAATTCCCTTCAATATCACAAAGCAACGCCATTTTATAGGTGTTATTATATATCAAGTTGTGCGCATAACTTCGGGCATTGAACCCCATTTAACAGTTTAGGTATAAGTTCTGTAATCGACATTGAACAACGCCCCTCTCATTTGAATAACAATCTGAGTTAGCTAACTTCATTGGTAAATACGAATGATTGACAAAGTCTCTAATGAAATCATAAACAGGTAAGGAAATTGGAAAAAGGGGTACCATGAAACCGGTTAATGACTGCGTGGGGCAATGCACTTCTCGTATTGCCTGGTTTTGCATACCGCAAATCCTAACACACCGAATACCACCTTGCAGAATGCAAGAGGTGTGGCAGGACGACAACACCTTTGAAGAGATTAATTTAAAGGAGAGGCGAAAACATCATTCTAACACCGTCTTTGAGGGTGATCTACATCATGGAAATGACATACACAGTTAAGCTGAATTACACTGTAATTAAGAACATAGTGCGTTTATGTACAATAAAATAATTATGAAAGATAAACAACAATTTCAATTTTGTTATAAGTTGTCGTCTAGCATATAAAGGACACAGGTTGCACTTATTTGAGAAATCTTAACAATTTTTTTTAAAAATAGTGAAATATGTCCGATGTACATGTACTGGCAGATCAATACAATTGACTTGATTTGAATATGAGGCAGCAACTGACATGAGAATAATTTGAATTTGTATAACATAGTGATTGTATTACGTATACCTTTGTGTATTTGTTGTCTTCTGTTTATATGAACTGGTATACTAGACGTTACCCGGATGGGCATAAGACGCTAACAATAATAAATTAGGTATTTTTTTGTCAACGATGTACCCTCGATCCCTGACATCTTGCGTGCACATACAAAATTAACATGGTGACAAATATTACTACAACATGAATGTTGCTACGCCAATCTTGTTCATTTAGCTTGTTGTATTAGCCATGGAAAACCTGTTGAACAGTTCTTTTCGGAATTTTGACGCAAGAATCTAGTCAATGCTTGAATACATATCACCTATACTAGTCAAGTGTGGAGAGGGTTTTAGAGCCACAGTCGTTTCACAAATCTACTCACAAGCCACTTGAACTACTCAAGCATTAACGCAGCCTGAGGAGCGCATGCCGGGTAAATAACATTAGAATGTGTGTTTGTAACAGTAACAGTAGTTCTATAACATTTCGACGCGAGTCGATACATTTACTTTTAATTGATGGTGGATTTAAAGTGTATATTATATTATATTATAAAATCGTGAAATGGCGGTGCCGGGGCATAGTGAATGCATTTATATGACGGATTTGAGACAGATAGCACGTATTGCTATATAATACCGTTTTGCAACATAATAAAGTTATAATTATAGTATTTCCAGTTGTATCAACTGTTTTATATTTTAGTTACTATGTACTACCATTTGTTTAAAAATATTCCTGAATTAATTGAAAATCGTTCGAAATATTTCCGAATTCGGCTATAATTCGCGAATTTGAGTAAAGCGTCCTAATCTCACATCGCTTTTCAGCAATTGGGCTTATGCCATCAGTTCATTTCACATCGCTAGGTAGTCCCAGGTGGGGCACATAACTTAATACCCAATGGGTCAAACATATAATGAAAATGCATCGACATATACCGATCGCAGCCGCACTCACTGGACTACTGGTGGTGGGCTTGGCTCAGTATACCTTTCAGACGTAGAGCTTCTTTTCCCAAGGACGTCACGGCCAGATTACGAACGCTCGCCGCCCTTATAGTTGGGACTTCACTAACGCACACAGGTGCTGTACCCAGTGTGTAATACCGTAAATAAAGCCACGTGATGCCACGTAATATATAATATGTGTCTATTTTTATGTATTGTAATTCACGTCTATTTTTAAACTGCCTAGTTATCATCGACGTGACATTAGGGAGGGGAGTATAGGTTTCCGATTGGATGCGTTCTGACTGGTATAATATACACATAGCAGTATTTTAGCGTATACAACAAAGTAATCTGCATTATAATTGCGATACACAATTGGCATGGCCGTAACCCTTGTCTCCTTTCTCATGCATATAGAGGCCGTATTTGTGTACCTGATCTGAACTGTGCGTACAGTATCGTTTGCAGAGACGAGGTGGACCACAGCCAGCGGTAAATACTCTTACTCAACACGGCACAGGCCAGCTAGTTGTCAAGACAACATACTTATATGTATGTGTGTTTGGTACGTATGTATAATTTCGTGTAATTCGTTTGAAACCATTATGAGTGCATTACGAGCAGAGACAGTGCAACTGATACTCTTCACCGGTGGGACACATGTCGTCACTCTATCTCCAGGTTTACACCAATCTTCTATCACAGTGACACTGTGTCCGACCTTGGACAGCATCAGTACTGATGACAATTAATGTATGTGGAGGGGACGGAACACTACTCTATATTTGTCATGACTTGGGTCCTGGAAATCACCATCGACATTGACGGTTCGCACAGCGTATATACCAACCTCGCATCAATGTACACCCCGATAAACGAGCCGTGGTGATCAAGCGAACTGGCCTTGGTCAGATGTATGAACAGTTCGAATCATGTGTACTCGCATGTATTTAGACTTGTAATACATCTCAATATATCGAAATGATTGGACTGATTTGTTATATGCAATGTAATTGTTTACTAATTCTTACCCGACCGTAAACTAACTAGTATATGCAGTATTTACTCTGTGGTTCTATCGCCCACTTCTAAATCTATGAACTACTTGAAAGTTTGACACGTACTGAGATTCAAGGTGAGAACGAAAGTGGGAGTTGTTCCCATTCCATTTCGGCAGTGATGAAATCGATATAGGTCATCAATGGGTCATCGCCTCAGGCACCCCTGCTTTGTATCATCTTGCTTCACCCCCAGATAAATACGTCTGCGGGACCTTCCCATTTCAACCACACATGACCAGAAAGCACTAACGAGTACACATTTTGCTTCTGTGGAAACTGCGTGAGAAACAACAATAGTTGTACAGTGTCAAACTCGACGTGCTTCAACTGAAAGGAACGAGTTCTTTTGAAATCTTACTAATAAATAGCAAGGTTTAAAAAACTTTGAGGGCGTTGGCTCTTAGTGTCTGAGTGAATTAGTCCAATGCACTTGAAGACTACCTATACAGACAAGATAACCCAAGCATAGTCTTCAAAAGATATACCTTTACCAACGCATGATACGAAAATCTCCAACCCTGACATTGCAATTCACTTTAAACAATATAAGGGACACAATGCCGGGCAGAGTTAACAGATGGTACTAAAACGCATTCAACCGCTAAGTCATATGTTTGACCTTCGTGAAATACAATTATCAAAATATCACTACGCTACGCTATCGCACACTGCACTGCACCGCACTGCACCGTTTATTAGTTATTTTTTACAATTTACATTTAATACTGTTGATTACATCACTATTTACTAAAATAGGTCCCACTCGTTGAATATCTATTCAGTAAGAATGATAATCCAGTTATTTCATATTTACAGTTCACAATACTGCAGTACAATCCATGAAGATGTAGTAAAAAGTCATATTACACTACACTGCGTCACATAACACTACAACATGTTGCAGCACAGTACTTGAAGATGCAACGTGTACTTGCAATGTTGTTTGATACCGTATGTTGATAAGTACGTTACACTATAATTTATCACGACCAGAACACGTCGTGCTTGCAGTACACATCTGAGTGTTCATTGGATGAAACAATGACATTCCTCAATACGCATGTTCATTGGTTGTTTTGGTGTGTATTCATCTAACTAATATGTGATAAATCGCAATTATGGAGAGTCGAACAACAACAACAATAATTACAAATATATGTTTTTGTTCATATTGCATACTACAACACACGACAATGCACTACGTCGCATTGCATTACACTACATTATGCTATACTACTGTAAAATATGTTATTTTGGCTTGTAATTAATGTTCGCTATATTCGCTGAAGGAATAGTTAAGTGAAAATATAATCCAACAAATATACATTTTTCATATATTTTACATTTTTCATATATTTTACATTTTTCATATATTTTACATTCAACTCGCTAAAAATCAGTGAAAATAAATTCCTATAAAGACAAAAAAAGTTTTTCAGCGAAAATAAAGTATTTTACAGTATATCAAATATTCAATGTGAATGGTAATCCATTTATTTCGTGTTTACAGTTTACATTCCTGTGCCACAATTTACGACGTTACTGCACGACAGAAAGTTACACTGCATGCACTGTGTCGCAAGACACAACACTGTACGATACAACGTCATACTAGTCGTACTTTGTACTATTGAGATTCCACGTCACTGCGTCACACTACGTCACACTACGCTACACCATGTTGTATTACAGGTGTGAATGTATGACTAATAGATTGAATATCGAATCCATTACATAAGAACAATAATCCATTTATTCTACAGTTGGAATCAATTTCTCATTCGACTTGTAAGATCAAGTAGCTAGCTATATGCCAAGTTTTGTTACCACAGACATGCTACTGGGTCAAATTATGTTAATTGTCTGGCATGTGTCCGCTAGTCAGAGTGCCGGAATTCACATCCGACTGAATCTATAGAACTGCTGTGACGAATAGTCTAACAATTCAATATAAAATAATATATAAAATAATTAAATAATAAATAATAGTATATATTCACTCATTGCCCAACTACATTCCATGCAGTGTTTACAAAGTATATGTCACCCAGGGCGGCGTTGAAGATAACAAAACTACATACGGGTACTCGTTCTATATGTTAATGAATACAACTGTAACGCGTTTTTGGATGGGTTAAAACTGCTCATATTTTTTTTGACAACATGAACCAAATCACCAAAAGTAGCCCGGAAAAGTAGTCCCAGGGGATTTTGTTTTCAACAAATGATAATTGTTGGGCTCATAAAAATTACATGTTCGTAATTTCCGTGGATTTTTAAAACATTGAAATTATTTCAAAATTTTTGAAAACTAATGCAATTTTGTTATTCATTGTTTGGGTATTATAAATATGAACCATACTTTTCATACAGTGGCCCTTATTGGCCCAGTTCTTTCTGGAGCACCCTTTGGTAGCTGAATTCTCCGTGACACATTTTAATGTAACCCTTATTGGTTGAATATTCCGTGGACACATTTTGGTGTAACCATTACTTGTTGAATTCTCCATGGACACATTTTGGTGTAACCATTACTGGTTGAATTCTCCATGGACACATTTTGGTGTAACCATTACTGGTTGAATTCTCCATGGACAAATTTTGGTGTAACCATTACTTGTTGAATTCTCCATGGACACATTTTAATGTAACCATTACTGGTTGAATTCTCTATGGACACATTTTGGTGTAACCATTACTTGTTGAATTCTCCATGGACACATTTTTTTGGGTAACCCTTACTTGTTGAATTCTCCATGGACACATTTTGGTGTAACCATTACTGGTTGAATTCTCCATGGACACATTTTGGTGTAACCATTACTTGTTGAATTCTCCATGGACACATTTTAATGTAACCATTACTGGTTGAATTCTCTATGGACACATTTTAGTGTAACCATTACTTGTTGAATTCTCCATGGATACATTTTGGTGTAACCATTACTTGTTGAATTCTACATGGACACATTTTGGTGTAACCATTACTTGTTGAATTCTCCATGGACACATTTTGGTGTAACCATTACTGGTTGAATTCTCCATGGATACATTTTGGTGTAACCATTACTGGTTGGATTCTCTATGGACACATTTTGGAGTAACCATAACTGGTTGAATTCTCTATGGATACATTTTGGTGTAACCATTACTGGTTGAATTCTCTATGGACACATTTTGGAGTAACCATTACTTGTTGAATTCTCCATGGACACATTTTAATGTAACCATTACTGGTTGAATTCTCTATGGACACATTTTGGAGTAACCATTACTTGTTGAATTCTCCATGGACACATTTTCGTGTAACCATTACTGGTTGAATTCTCCATGGACACATTTTAATGTAACCATTACTGGTTGAATTCTCTATGGATACATTTTGGTGTAACCATTTCTGGTTGAATTCTCCATGGACACATTTTAATGTAACCATCACTGGTTGAATTCTCTATGGACACATTTTGGTGTAACCATTACTTGTTGAATTCTCCATGGATACATTTTGGTGTAACCATTACTTGTTGAATTCTCCATGGACACATTTTGGTGTAACCATTACTTGTTGAATTCTCCATGGACACATTTTGGTGTAACCATTACTGGTTGAATTCTCCATGGATACATTTTGGTGTAACCATTACTGGTTGGATTCTCTATGGACACATTTTGGAGTAACCATAACTGGTTGAATTCTCCATGGATACATTTTGGTGTAACCATTACTGGTTGAATTCTCTATGGACACATTTTGGAGTAACCATTACTTGTTGAATTCTCCATGGACACATTTTAATGTAACCATTACTGGTTGAATTCTCTATGGACACATTTTGGAGTAACCATTACTTGTTGAATTCTCCATGGACACATTTTGGTGTAACCATTACTGGTTGAATTCTCCATGGACACATTTTGGTGTAACCATTACTGGTTGAATTCTCCATGGACACATTTTAATGTAACCATTACTGGTTGAATTCTCTATGCACACATTTTGGTGTAACCATAACTGGTTGAATTCTCCATGGATACATTTTGGTGTAACCATTACTGGTTGAATTCTCTATGGACACATTTTGGTGTAACCATTACTTGTTGAATTCTCCATGGACACATTTTGGAGTAACCATTACTTGTTGAATTCTCCATGGACACATTTTGGTGTAACCATTACTTGTTGAATTCGCCATGGACACATTTTGGTGTAACCATTACTGGTTGAATTCTCCATGGACACATTTTAATGTAACCATTACTGGTTGAATTCTCTATGGACACATTTTGGTGTAACCATTACTGGTTGAATTCTCCATGGATACATTTTGGTGTAACCATTACTGGTTGAATTCTCCATGGACACATTTTAATGTAACCATCACTGGTTGAATTCTCTATGGACACATTTTGGTGTAACCATA